CCGATTTTCGTCTGTGTAAAACGTTTTTATGTTGAAATCGCACTAAATCTGATTATTGTGAATGGTTTAATTTCAACTCAAGTCCTTATAATTATTTGTTTTTTTTCAAAATTGTTGTTTCTTGATTGTAATCTTCCTCTAGCAACAGTGATTTTTTCGAAGACCTTTGTCTTGAATTTTTTATGCTTTTGTTTATTGTGTTCTGCTTGACTTAAAAACTGGTCGCCCCCATGGAACCCAGGTGGCTCCACCACTGAATTGATGCTCAAAGTTAACATTTCTGTTTATAAAGCTATACGAGTATTCTTGGAAATATTTTTGTTTCTTTGATTCAATTAGATTAAGGGAATAGCGTTAGTTATTTGATATTTTTGTGATAAACATGTAAGAGAAATAACTAAATGCATCTGTGCTTTACTTTTCCGAATATAGGTAATGGCTCCAAAGCAGCCAAACACTGGTCTGTTTGTGGGTTTGAACAAAGGCCATGTTGTGACCCCAAAGGATCTGGCTCCCCGCCCGTCTGCTAGAAAAGGCGTGAGTTTCTCTACGCCTTTTGGCTAGTTTATTATAATTTTTCTTTTTTCCGGATAGTTCTTCCCAAAGAGTCTCCTATTGGTTTTGATTATGCATGGCCATTCCAGGTCCACGCATTTTGATCATTTTATAGTATTTTGTTTAGCAGATCAAGCTTCTGATAACATATAACTTCGTTAAAAAATAATAATAAAATAAAATAAAATAAAAATTGGAGAGTAAAGTCAAAGGCATTTTGGGGGTATTCTCTTAATTCCAGTAAAATGCAACAAGAATGATGAATTGATATATTGTGTGCATGCTGAATTTAAGCTGCAAGATGGTTTCTTGAATCATTGTGGTTTCTTGAATCATTGGTTCTTGATTTGTTTATTATTAAGTGCTGTACAGCACTATTAACAACCATTTACCCAGCCTGTTCAAAAAATTCAGACTTTTGTTAAGTAGATTAGTTCTTAGGTTTGTAAGCATGGGCTAACATTCACAAAAAATTGAAGAGGATGAAATAATTCGTTTAATAGCTAGTAGTTAGATGCGAATTCATACCCGTGCTGTACAAAATTTGGGATTCTAATTCTTGTTTCTTGATCTATTGATTTATTTAGAAAACGAGCAAGAGAGTGCATTTTGCAAGGAGCCTTATCAGGGAAGTTGCGGGGATTTGCACCATCTGAGAAAAGGATTACTGAGCTTTTGAAAGTTGTAAAGGACAAACGTGCTTTGAAAGTCGCTAAAAGAAAGTTGGGCAGTCACAAGAGAGCGAAGAAGAAGAGAGAGGAGATGTCTTGCGTCCTTCGCAAGATGAGGTAATTTTCATGAATGATATTATTGTTCTTTCCATGTGTGATAATACCAGGAATTTGTCATGGTTTTAGCCGTGTTTGATACCCAAACTTATTTTTAACCTTACATTCTCTCAATAAAAATATTTTTTGTGAACTCATAACTCTTCCCTATTTCTAACCATACATTCTCCAAAAATATGATTTTCCACAATCTATTCTAAAAAATCTACATCAAACTGTCTCTTAATGTAATTGATTCTTTCATTTTATATTGTTTGGGAAATTTATGCAGAGCTGCTGGAGGCGGTGAAAAGAATAAGTGAAGCCTTTTTTCTTAGGCTTTCAGTATTGGAAGTATCTTGAATCTGAGTTTTTGATTGGAAGTTGTTTTAGTGCATTTTCATCTAGCTTTCAGTACATTGTGTTGGTCTTTCAACATTATTAAATCAAGAAACTTATTTTTTGGTCTTTATGTTGGCGTTACTTTTAAAATCTATCATGCAACCCATCTCGTGACTCAAAGCTTGTTGGGCTTCTGCTAACTGCTTTTGTTCTGAACAAGCTTGTGGACTCTAGACTTGAATTGTAAGACTGTGATGCGAAACTTCCAGCTTGGGATATTGAGAATAGCTTGATTTGGATACATGAAGTTGAGACTTGAGAATTCAAGACTTCACGATCAAAGGTAATTGAGTTGGTATGAAGCAATATTTTCTGTTGTTGGCTATCTAGCTGTGATTTTTCGAGGTTTATGATTCTGGTTAGATATCCTTTTGGGTAATTGGTTCATCCAAATTCTTCAAGACGGGGGCTGCTAATATTAGTTATTTGCTACTTGTGTCCTTTTGAGCTGAGTAGAACTGATGTTGCAGCTGTTGTCTGTTGTTTAGAGGCTACAGTCATATTTGAATGGGACCATCATGCAAGCATACTTGGGTAGTAGGCCTGGTGGTTGGGAACAAGCTTGCAATGACTTATTTTTCCTTTTATAAGCTAAAATAAATTATTGTAAATTTGGTATGTTAGACTATGTTATCTAGCTATTTGTTTAGTTGTAACCATTCTCCAACTACAAAAAAGCAATGATAGAAAAGGGGTTCGTGACCATAAGAGCATATCTAATGCATTTCATGGAATGAAATTTACGTAGTATTTAGATAGATAAACTTTTGATTATGTGGTATTAATGTTTAACTGTAGTCATTTTAGTTTAAATAGGATAGATAAATAGATAAACTTTAGATTTATCTTCATGAGTTCTTCTATAAATAGGATAGATAAAGAGAAATATTAAATTAGATATCTTTACATTTAGACTGTTATCTTGACAATGTCTACTTTTTCTTGTCACGTTCGTCGTAAATAGATCTAGACATGTTACATCAAAAAGGAACTTTTATAGACATTTATCTAACTTATGTTATAATCCATTTTATTGCAATCCACATTAGCATTGAAGATACTCTAAAATTATTAGAACATCTTCAATGCTAATGTGGATTGAAATATAATGGTTATTGCATAAGCTAAAAACTAAAATAGGCTTAATCTCCAATGCATCATGTCTATATTTAGTTGAAGTAGCAAGAAAAAAGCTTGTTAAGAAGTCCGCCTAAATATAAGCTCTTGTAGATGAAGTGCGTCACCATAATAGAATCTCTTTCATGTTTCTAACATTTTCTCTCCTATTAAATATTATTACAACAAATTTTATAGAAGATAAAATTTGAACTAAACAAACTATTTATTAAAGATTAATGTCACATATATCGAAATTTTATTATTTAAATGACACCTAAATTACAATATATGAAAGTATGAGAGATGCTCTTATAATTCAAAAATCTGAGACTATCGAAATATCAGTTTTGTACCATTGGTGATACAACCCGTCCCGAATTACCTTAGTGGACCCGGAACGTGACGTGCGCCGATAATAAATGCTGACTAGATGTCAAATTTATCATTAAGGCTGACTATGAGTTATTTAAAAAATGCAACAAAATCAAATGCTTATGTAAAACATAATGCAATGGACCCAAATTATTTACTTTGTGCTTCTTCAAAATGAGTTATAACACTCAACATGTCGTGCGGCTCTCATTTTGAAATCATTAGGCTCTTTCAGATAAAAAGAATCAGTTTCCACATGTAGGAAAATTACAAAAATATATATGAGTTGATAGCTCAGTGAGTGGAGAAGTTCGAAAATAATTATATTTTTTCATTTTTATATTTTTATTGAAAATTGAATTCATGTCATTGATAACTCGTAAGATAACATCATATAATTATAGCCAAAATGTGAGACGTTTACATAACGTAGTAAATTATCATCTCAAGTCATGATATAAACATAAGCTGGTAATCATGTTATGATCTCATCACATCAAATGTACTGAAAAATCTATAAAAAAATGTACCCTCTGACTAAAATCTGTAATCTGCCCCTCGGGCTAAGAACTTTCGCCGAAGGCACCTTCGTGAACGAAAGCTGGTCTTAAAGATCTCTCATAATCAATTCTAGAATACGGTCAAAGCCCCTCAGTGAACTATATGTACACAGTCGAGGCCCCTTCATCCCTGATCCAAGACCCCTCAGTGTAGTATAGAACACGGCCAAGGCCTCTCAGTGAATTAGAAGAAATATATAATCATGGGTACTTTTCTTGTCGATCTCAAAATCATACCTCATATTTCAATTCACAATATACCGTATACAATCTTTAAAATCCACATGTATCATAATAAAAGATATTTCCATAATAACCATATAATTCGAGCACATAATTGCATATAATTGCACATGCTTTAACAATATACTTAATTTATAAATACTTTAAAAATATTTATATTTTTTCACTCACAGAACTATGTACGTCAAAATAACCCGATTGGTAAGCTGTTCCAATATCTGTATCGCCTCCTAAAATATGATATAATTTTTAAATCAATAATTAATTAGTTTAAGTAATTTCAATAATTAAATAGGCGATATTCAAACTTAATCATTTCATGTTTAGGCGATTTCTACAGTCTTTTTAATAGTTAAAACTAATTTTTCTTTCACTCTACTCAATTTCATAGTATATTATACTTAACACCTTCAATAATTAAAGTGTTACAATTGGATAGTGTGATACTTGGAACATGTTTAATGTAGATTTATCGAGAATAGATTTCGATTTTATTTATTTATTTATTTTTTTGGAAAAATGTTCAATTAAAAAATAAGAAATGTTATTAATCAACGATTATAATTTTTTTATTATAAAAATGCTTTAAAATGAATGTGGAAGAAAAATATATTTTTTAAAAATTTTGTACTGAACATTGACTTAATTTAACTAGGGCCATGCTCTATGTACACATTCGTGTACCATCCCCTCACGAGACCCTCCCTCCCACCCAGTGAGGGGCCTCTACATATCGTTGTACAAATAGTAAATTTCATTATTATGTTTATCTAAGCTTAAAAATGTTATATTTATGTTTATCAAAGCTTAAAAAAATATTATTTAGCCTCGGTATTGATTTAAATCAAATTTTAATTTAAGTTAAAGTCAAATAATCAAAATTAATCATATATTTTATAGATTTCACAACTTTTGAATCACACATTTCAAAAACGTTTATCAAAATATACTAAAAATCTAATTTTAATCTCTAATTCTAATCTAAGCACAAGAAGCAGGGTTTTATTCTTCATATTGGTTTAATTAATCGAGTTTTGTACAAGGAAATATTACAATTCTACAATTCCCTTTACAAAAATTATTCAATGAAGACAACATTTATTGATGCTCTATCAGTTTTTTGTACTGCATTCTTCCATTTTAGTAAACAGAAGCCCAACAAGCAGTAAAGAAGCTTTGCAGCGGCCATTAAAGTCTACTCAAGTACAAAAATGCAACATGAATTCATGTCTTGAACTTCTGGGATATTCTCTCGACCCCTTCTTTCCAATCTCCGGCAACTCGCTTAGTGCCTTCCTTAACAGCTGAAGTAAATTCAGCAGAATTTTGCCTCAACTCTTGTAAAGAACTTTCCATTTTCAATTTAGCAGAATCTTTCATCTCTACTGCCCCTCTGCTCATCTTTAAGAACTTTTCCTTCAAAATTGATATCAGGAAGAGTATTTTCTCAATGATTTTATTAATAGTATCTTTCGATTTACCTCTCACTTCGTCTGCCATCGCCCTAAGCTTGTCCACTAAGTTTTCAGACCTTTCAATGGTTCCTTCGACTGAGAGCTGCTTTCCAGTAGCAAGCCATGTAACTCCGGCATCTTCTTCTTCGCGTAGATCATTGTCAACCACAATTTTAAGACCTTGCTTCTCCCAACGCTCTCTGGCCTCCTCCAGGACTTTCAATTGCTCCCTTGCCCTTTTCGCTTCATCTTCAGCCCAAGCTCTGAGTAGGATACACATAAAATGAGGTAAGGAATTTTAAAACTATAAACGAAATAATAGAATCATCACTTCATGTATTATTTTTCATATCCTTCTACGTCATGAAGCATATTTTTCTCTGTTCCCCCCACCTTTTGGATTGTTTCATAGATAGATTAAAACCAAAATTGCAATCAAGTCTTTCTGACCAAACCCTTCCTAAATTTCTCGGAGAGTTCGTTGTTCAAATCTTCTGCTATCTACCAGAAGCAATGAAAAAATGTGGAGGATAGTTAAAAATGATTTCTTCGTATATCACATGATAAACTTTCCATAAATTCTGTACTGTGCACAGGAGCAGATCTTTCGACATGTTTGGTCCGAATTACATATCCATCAGCATAACCGAGACAAACCAGCCTATTTTAGCTCTGACTAAGGCTATGTCAGTAGTTCAACTATCAAATGTTTGACCGGATTCTGTCATTGCAAAGATACCTGGTAATGCATTTATAAGGTTTTAAATCTGGGTTAAAAGAATAGGATGTCTTTACCTGGTAAATTTATATGTTCCTTATTTTGCTATTAAGGGGGAAAAATTTCTCCAGTTAAAAGAATAGGATGTCTTTACCTGGTAAATTTATATGTTCCTTATTTTGCTATTAAGGGGGAAAAATTTCTCCAGAAAACAAAGGTAAAATTATAAGGAAGGAAATTACAGAGATATATCAATATTGACCACAAGAAACAATTTATGACGGAATCTTTTAAGCCACATAATAAAGAAGCTTGTATTGAATTTTTGATGGTTTGTTTTGTATTTTTTGCCTTGATATTCTGGCAAAAGTGCGTAATAACGAACCAGTGCAAAATTGTAATAAAAAATGGTCATAAGTGACCTTGCAGAGAGGTTGGCTAAAAGGGAAAAGAAATGAGAGGCTCATCTATGACCAATGTACACTGATTAAACAATGACCAAGATAAAAGCAAATTAGAACGTGAATTATTGAGGGGGTATCATTTTCAAAGTTTGTGATATACATTTATGCAATCCCTCAATCATGATATAGATTATATAATTTCCCACACAAAGATAAGCTTTTACTCAAAAAGATGAAAGCTAATTCCTTACCTAGCCATGGATAAGGCTTTTCGCTCAACTTCCAGCTCGTGCTGTAACCGTGATATCTCTTGATTCTCAGTTTCCGCATCCCTCCGGAGCTTGTTAAGCCTTTCCTTTTCATAGGAAATCTCCAACTTATTACTCATAAGGGTCTGCAACTGCTCCTCCACCTCACGCCTTAACTTGGAAAGAACTTCCATTTCTGAGTCAACAGCAGCTCGTTCCTTCATCAAGGCAAGATTTTCTTCCTCCTGTTCAGCCCTCAGCCTCTCAAGTTCTCGTCTCGCCTCCTCTGCCAATTTCTCAACAGTCTTAATCTTTTCCCTTTCAAGAAAAAGCTCCTGTTCATAACTTGCATTGAGATCTTTCTCAATTTGAGACACTAGGGCACTGTGAGCAGCTACAGCCTTTTCAGCCATGGATTCTGCCTCAATACGTGCAAGTTCCTCGCTAACAATGGCAGAAGCATCACCAGTTGCAAGGGCAATAGCAGCTTGAGCTTTCGTTACAGGTTTTTCTGGCTGGAACAATCTTGTATATCCTATCATAGTAATAGGACAGCTCAACTCTATATAAGAAAGTAAATGTTAGATGGAATGACATATTGACACGGATGAAACTCACCAAGTGCTAAGGTTATAATCCCCTGTTCTCCAGCTGCTAAATCAGCTACAATTGCAGGCCATGCATCAGGGTTGATCTTGTCAATATCTATGAAACCGGATAACTGCTGCAAGTACTGGTTGCAGGAAAGGGCAGGCTGATTGGAAATTCATAATGATCTCTATGCTATCCACAATAAGAAAACAAAAGTAACCATTATCAAATTTTTATAACCTTTATATCAACTACTGGTAGCTGCCTATTTTCTAGGGCCATCTTCCAACTCACGAGATCCTGACGAGATAAAGGGCTGCAACACAACAATTTCAGGAATAGCTCAAGAGGAGGAAGTGAAAAATGTCAAATGCCCAGATGTTATATTCACAGGCAACATCAATTTGAGTAAAGGAACAGATCCAGAAAGTAAAAATGAGACACGAGGCAATAAATAAGAGGAGAGTAACATTCTGAGTGCTAAAGTCCCAAGCAGAAAAAGGTTCCGTAGGATGTTGTAGTTAAAACAACACATGAAACCACATAATCAAGAATATGATGACAATGTTCAATTTATAAAAATTATATCAGAGAAAAATATAGACATGCAAATAGACATGAGAAAACAACAAGAAAATTTTCCAAATACTAGATACAGTTCCTAGATAAGCATCCACATATCCTTTTCTTTTGCTATTCTTGATTCATTAAACTATTTCAATTAAGTGTATATTTGGCAAAGCTTAAATTATAATCTACGCTGGCCAAACAGCATTTTTAATCACACATTCCATAGGATCCACAGACTTTATCACTTCTCACCAACAAATTGCATAGGGCCTACTAGTAATCTACAAAAGTCTCTACAAAACATACTCTTAAATGAGCTTAAAAAGCCAATTGTTTGATAAAAGCATGACAAATATGCGTGAGCAAATAAATTAACTACCTTTCAGGAGAGAAGAATACTTGACTTGGGTCTCCATCTAAAGATGACTGCATATCACGTCTTGAAAGCTTGCTGGCAATAAGTCCGGCTTCTGCCAATCCTGAAAACATCCCACTGATTCATAAACCATAATGCAAAAAAGGAAAGTCATTCAAATCCCACCAAAATTCTGAATAATTACCCAAAAGATGAGTCACTACCTTGAATGGACGGGAAATCAGGGTCTTCAGGTGTAATGTCATCAAATGCAAGTTCAGAAATGTTCTCAATGTACATCGCCGGATAGACTTTTGAAGCTATGTTCCTAAAAAGAAATTCAGAGAAACTGTAGCCACTCCTTTATCTATAACAAATTCAAACAGTACATATTAATATCTTCCACCGCCCATTATAAAACAAGAGGAATTGATACCTTGAAAGAGCATTGCTTGCTAAAACCAACCAACGAGCATATTCTCGCCGAGTACATATATCTCCTGGTTGAACATCAGTCTCAATAACCTATAAGAGTTCAATAAATTAAAACTGAGCTCGGAAACAATCAAGCATGAAATTTAAAATTTACGGCTGAATCTCTACTAAAGGAATGCGACCATCATCTTTGATTTCCCTATTTGAATGGGTTATTTTCAGTAATTAAAACGAAGAAGTAAAGGCTACAAGTGTAGCCTATTATTGTACGAACTCTGTACTCGAACAATAATATGGGTGTGCAGACCTGTGTGTGGAAGAATTCAAACGAGTCTTTTGGCTTTTAGAACATTTCTGGTTTAATTTGGATTAAAATGTTCTTTAAGAATTTTCAACAACAGTTAGAAATTGCTTGTAGAAAATGTGTGGAGCCATTGCTGAATAAGAGATTAGCTCAATAATTGGGTGTGCTTGGTTTTCGTCCAAATACAAAGTGTTGATGAAGTTCCACGGTGCCTGGTTCTTTTTTAAAATTTTTCATTTTCAAGTATATTAATTTAAAATTAATTCATTTCATATATACATAAAAACATTCATTCCGTGAGTTCCTCTACGCTTGCAACTGTCGTGTAAATTACTTACTACAGAAAAGTAATTTTATTTTAAACATTTCTATGCTTTGATAGCTTTCCTTTATGTTTTGTGTCCAGAAAATAAAAAGACTCAGTAAATTCTCATTGGATAAATATATATGGGTCAGAAACCACTTCACATTTTTACGTGAGAGGAACTATGAGAAAATAACATTTTCCCGTTTTCTTTGGAAACGGAATAAAGTTAGTGTCCAAATGGAAAGATAAAATCAAATTTAAAACTGGAAGCAACTTGAAACCACGCAGCCAATCTTGACAAAACAGAATTTAGTTACTAGAGCAATCTGATAAAGTACCTTTAAAACTTGTAATGCTGATAATGCCTGACCTTGAAGTTGATCGACAACAGCAGGAACCAAAACCTTTCCTGGAAGTGACGACAGAGCTGCGGAAACAACAGATGGAGCAGGAATACCAGCTGAAGTGAAAAATTTTCCAGGATTTGTAGAGTCAAAAAATGCTCTGTTAAGATTGATATCATCATAATCATTGCTATGTTTTTCATAAGCAAGTTGATAAGCTGCTTCAGTCACCAAAGCAGCTCCACTCGAGGCAGTTCCATTTTTGTTTTCCATAGTGGGATGTAAATCATCCATGTCAACTGGAACCCCAAGAACATTGTTCGGCTCGACATCCTTGGTTGAAACCGAGCTTTTATCATCTATATACTCTTCATGGATGATGCCTGCATCCAACTCTGATTCAACTGGGATTTTTAATATTGAAGGCTCGACAGAAGTGGGGTCCAATGAAGAGTTTGAATTTTCTCTTTCACCCAAGCCAGAAACCCCACCTTCACCGGTGCTTAAACGTTCTGAATTAGCATTAGAAACTGACTGTTCAGGAAAAACGTTGTCAAGAAGGTTCTCTGCATCTGGTTCGTTGGTTTCGGGAGTAGCATTACCACTTTCACTCTGAATGCTCGAGGCCGCTAAAGAATCATCAGTGGAATCAGACTCTGGTGGTTTATTGGTCGCTTCAGGAGCAACCAAAATGTCACTAATATCCGATTCACTATAGGCAGCCTTTTGAATAGAACAATCTTCAGGTGACCCTCCTGCAATAGTACCATCACTAATTCTACTTTCAGTAGCTTCACTATTTTCTTTACCTGAAGAAGGATCATCGAATGTGCCTGTCTTTCTTTCCGGATTGCTACTCTCTAGCATCTCAAGCTTGTCCAAATTTTGCTCCTCTTCAACACCTTCAAGATGCTTATCAGAGGACAATGACTCTTCTTGTTGTGTTGTCAGTGGCTCCATCTGCTGTTGCACTCCTGTATACACAAATCATTCTGACTCAACTACTCTACGAGAAATAAAGGTCTTAGCCAGTGAACGAACATATATCAGCAATACAATCAATAACTCAAGGAAATGGAAAACAAGGCTGCTTTTAGGAAAATAATGACGCCAGCACAGAATTTGGAAGCCTAAAAGAACCTTTATTTATCAAGTTAATTCTCCAACATCATAGAATTTTAAAAAGCGCAAAAAGCTTATTTGAGAAATATTGCAACATTCCTAATGGAGGTTGTTGTTTTAAACTCGTGATGGGCAGATCCAAGATATAATGGGGACATCCAATTCAACATACAACATATATAAAGAAAAAGAAGGAAATAGAATCAAGATTCAAATGGTTTGGTCAATGGATGGACCTATGTCCATCATATAGGAGCAAAATCCACTACTGAGAGAAGAAATGGGGCAAAAAGAAATAATTAAGAGAAATCTTGGATATCCCAATACCAACTTCTAACACAATTATATCAGAATACATTCAGTGATAAATCCCCAGACATCCACATATAATTACTCATCCCTATTATGACCATTGTTGGCTGGCTATGGGGTAATCAATTGAAGGAATGCTGAAAAAAAAAATCCTTTATCGAATAATATCTCAAAACAATTTAATGATAAGGGAAACAAGCTAATATAGGATTATTATACTAGATAATCACAACTGATACAAAATACTCACTTGAAGTGCCTCGCTTGCTTATAGACAATGCAGCAAAAGTGAGTCCTGTGATGAGAAGAATCCCTGCAACTCCTACTCCCAGTATCCCTGAAAGAGAACTACTTCACAAGTGTTATCACTTTTTAGTCTATAAGAGAATTCACCAGTACGAAAAAACTCTCAAATACACCTATAAATTTTATGGCAGCAGCACCCACATTTCAAACCACTAGGCTTATCTGAATCGATTTTTACTATTATTACCATAGTTATTGACTTCCATTGGGCAAGTTTATATAGGACTATTATACTCATATCACTGCTTTTAATCAATACACACAAAATTTGCCGCAACCACAGGGATCAACCATATTTGAAATAGAAAACTTTCTTCTGCATACAAAAACTTGGCTAGTTTTCACTAGCTTATCCATTTCAACATTTTATATGATCAAATTCAGTCAAACGCATCAACAAACCATTGTTAGAGATAAATACCCAAATATAATAATTCATTAATAGACGGATTGCACTCACCTGCAAGCGATTGCTTGGGCCGCGAGTCATCCGATTCTTCTTCACCTTCAGCATTGGACCAACCGGAAAAATTATCTGAATTCGTATTTATCCACGAAGAATTCCCGGAACGGCGCTGTTCCACTCCATTACCACTAGGCGCACTATTCCGAACCACCAGCGACACGAACTTCAAACCGTGACGATCGAGCTTCTGAAATCGCGTGCATACAAAAATCGGCGGAGATTTCCGGCAATTGAGCGCCAGTTTGAGCTGAAAGGAGCTCGGACACCAAGACGTAGTGGCGGAAAAGGTGCTCATTTCTGAAACTCCACAATTTGGAAGCTCCGCTGAAATGCAGTATTAAAATTACTACAATCACTCAAGACTTGATGTACAGACGTTGAAATTGTTCGAATTTGATGGTTACTTGGAGCAGACTTATTGTACTTGGAGTCTGGAGAGCTATAGACGAGGATAATTTCTAGGGTTTCGAAGTCTATTACGAGGTTTTGTTTTAGACATCTTAAAAATAAAAAAGAAGATGAACACCAACCTTGAGGACCTCACCACCCCGTCTCTAGAATTTTGTGAAGGAAGTAAATAGCGGGATGTGCCTCATCAAGTCAGAGAAGAAGAGCTGCATGTACACTGTGCCTACAAGAAGCCAAATTCCACGTTTCAGGAATCGAACCTCCACACTGCGGCTGCCAGCAAGGCGTGAGTTATGTATATATTTTTAACTATGTTATCCGGCAAACTGTACATCATCACGTGTTGTAATTTTTGTAATTTGCACTTCTTGTAGTACCAGTCTACTGAATGTGCAGGATTATTTTGAACGTCATATTAGCATTTTTAATATTGATATGAGTTTAGTATTTAAAGAAAAAATAAATTAATTACTTATAAAAATAATCATTTAATGTAAGATATTTATGATATTAATTTGGAAATTGAATTATTCAATATAATAATGACAAAAATGAACAGTTCAACTTTGTGCAAAGAAAAGCAGTAATTTCCGTCGATAGAAAAAATTGAAATAATTTTAAATCAAACAAATTTATTTTGAAAAAATTTTGAATAGAAAAAATTTCTCATTTGAAGGAGAGAAAAACAGTAATTGAAAAAATTAAGTTTAATCATAAAGAGAAAAGAATTTAAAAAAAACTTAAATAGAAAAAATTTATCTATAATATGAACAAAGAAATTTAAAATATCAATTAATTAGTAATTCCACAAGTAGAAAAAATTGAAATAATTTTACATTGAACAAATTTAAATTGACAAAATTTGTACTGGAAAAAAATTTGTCCTTTTAAGAAAAGAAAAACAGTAATTAAAAAAATTATGTTCAATGAGAAAAGAATTTAAAAAAATATAAATAGAAATTTTTTTTATCTATAATATAAAAAAAATTTAAAAATTAAATAAATAAATAAAATAAAATTTCCATCCATTCACGGAGAGAAACTCTCATTTCAAAAGGAGAGAACACTCTTTTTCTCCTGGAACTCTCCTTTTGAAAGGAGAGACAATCTCTCCGTGAACGAAGAGATGAAGCTCTTGCTCTCGGTGTGATAGGAAGAGGTAGTTATAAACTCTTTATCCACTTTGAATAGAAAGTATTTTTTCCTTATTTTTTATTTAAATTTGTTTTGTTCATATTATAATTTTTTTTATTTTGGATTTAAAATTCTTTTTAATTCTTTTCTCTTTATCATAAAATTTATTTTTTTCAATTTTAATTAAATAATATTAATATATTCCTTGTTTTATTTTTGTAACTTTAATTTGTTTAATTTTTTTGTTTAATTACATAATTTTTTAAAATTTATTTTGTTCATATTATAAATTCCTTTTTCTTTTTAATTCTTTCTGCGTCTTTAAACTACTGAACAATTAACAATCCTCTTTACAAATGCAAAAAATAACGGAACTGTAAATACTACTAACTTGACCCAAATGACTCCAAACATATACAAAGCAAACTCTTGTAAGCCTCGTTAAATATAAAAAGAATGATCGAAAAATTTAAGCTTCCCAAATGGATAAGGGTAAAGAAAAAAAAGACTTAACTAACTTTTACACACTCAACAAAAAAAAAACATATATTACGTTAAATAAAGTCGAAGAAAATAAGAAATAAATCCACAAGAAAATAAACATCCAACAAAAATATAAACTTCAGTCATATCCAAGAAAAAAATAAAACTCCAATTAAATTTTCACGTATATACAGAAACAAGAACATACCTCACATCTAGGTAGAAGAAGATGAGTCAAGCTAGATTTTCATCTATACACAGAAATAAAAACTACATACCTTAAACTAAAAAAAGGAAATACAAACAAAGAAAAAAAAATTAAAATTTACAAAAACGTACCCAAAGATAATCGTCACAAATTCTATGGTTTTCTACCCTACGATTGAGATGAGGATTGCATGATATTTTTTCCCACAAAAAGAACAAGAATTTGGAGAGTTTTTTTCGTACATGAAAGCTGGACTTTTGAACAGAAATCTATTGAATTGAAGGAAGGAGAATGAGTGACTTGAAAGAGTAATGGATAGTAGATTACTTTATATTTTTATATAATATAATAAAAAAATCAAACAACTTTGACCAAACCCATTTCACACCAGTTGAATGTGAAAATGCATGTGAGAAAAATGAACAGTCAAGCTTTGTGCAAAAAATCAGTAATTTATATTTTCACCAATAGAAAAAAAATGAAAAAAATTTAAATATAAAAAAATTAATATTGTAAAATTTTTAAATAGAAAAAAATCTCATTTCACAGAAAGAAAAAATTAATTGAAAATTTTAAATTCAATCATAAATAAAGAGAACCACAATAAAAAAAAATTACTATAAAGGGACTCCATGCATGAAGTCAAAACTCACTCCATGCATGGAGTGGAGTCCCTATATTTTTTATTTTTTTATTGTAATTTTTTATTAATATTTAATTTTAAAAATTTAAATATATCTAAATATTTATTTAAAAATGTTGAAGTTAATATTTTTTTATCTATAAGTAGCTATTACAATTATAGGTTTTTTTATTACTTTTAAATAATTTGAAATAATTTTTTTATTTATAAGTAATTTTTTACATTCTAAATAGTGTAATATTTTTATTGATATTTAATTTAAAAAACTAAATATATCTAAATATTTATACTTAAAAATTTTAAGTTTATATGTTTTACTTATAAGTAGCTTTTGCAATTATAAGAGAATGGTGGATTAATATTTTTTTGCCTATAAGTAGCTTTTTTAATTATAAATTTTTTTATTACTTTTAAATAATTTGAAGTGCTTTTTTTTTACTTATAAGTAACTTTTTACATTCTAGATAATGTAATATTTTTATTAATCTTTAATTTAAAAAACTAAATATATCTAAATATTTATACTTAAAAAGATTTAAGTTAATATTTTTTTACTTATAAGTAGCTTTTACAATTATAAGTTTGTTTTACTTTTAAATAACTTGAAGTGATCTTTTTAGTTCTAAGTAACTTTTTATATTTTAGAAATAAAGAATAACTTTTATTTAAAAAATATTATTACTAATAAAATATAGGATATGGTTGATAGTTAATAGAGTGAGAAGATGGAGAAAAAATACTCTATGTCAGATTTAAAACATGTAAGCTCTAGGTAAAATCGAAAACAACGTCGTTTCTGTTCCACCAATTAAAAAAAACCTACAGTGTGACAAAATATTATTTAAAAAAATATTACTACTAATAAAATTGTATGATATAGTTGATAGCGTGAGAAAATGAAGAAAGATATTGTGTGTCAGATTCGAAGGACAAAACCAGTTTCAAATCAGTTCAATGTGAAAATTAATGTGATAAAAATGAACAGTAAACCTCACATTCTCTCTTTTAAGGTAAGGAGGGAGATATATCATACATCCATTCTTTTTCGAATTATAAAATAAAAATCTACTTGAAGAAATTATCGGAAACTAGTATTAGAAATGAGTCGAAGGAAAATGATTGGATGAAAAAATTGAGTGTATTCTAAATTATTCAATGATTGAGTACTTATGTGAAGTTATGTAAATTTTGATGTATGTGTAGCAAGATTGTTATTTTTTCGCTCTATCCAATTTTTTTCCGAAAAGATTTACAAGTCATAAATATCGATGTGCAAAACAAGTCAATCATAGTCTCGCAACTATTAATCTTTGTTTGCCTCCTATTTATAACTCTTGTTTGATTCGAATTAAAATTTAATTTTAATTTAAATCAAAGTCATATAATTAATATTAACATCATCTATCATGCATTTCACAACTTTTCAACCACACATTTCAAAATTTTCTGTTACAATCTACTAAAAAAATTAATTTCAATCCCCACCTAATACCCTCATAATTTTTTTTATAATCGACCAAACCTCATTCCATTCACACATGTCATGAAATTCACAAGTATCAATTATATAACTTTCACTTATTTCTATATTTTTATAATTTAAATAAAATATAGGGCATGTTTGATGCAGATTAAAATTTGATTTTAATCTAAGTCAAAGTTAAACAATCATTATTAATTACATCTTTCACGGGTCCTACAACATTTCAACCACACGTTTAGAGAAGTAGGTATTAGTGAATAATCAATCCTATCGAGTCAACTAACGTCCAATAGAAACGATTAAAAGAAGATTAATATGGTATCTCCATAATGATGACAATCACAAATCATGAAATAGTTTTTATATCCAAAATGTTAATTTATTAATTGTTTGATTTTTATTTTTAGAGAAGCAATTTTGTAGAAAGTGTCATTTTTTTTAGAAGAAGTGTTGACGAAATATCTTTTGATTTAAAACCATTGCAAAATGTCTGATTCGTTAACAAGTAATAAAATGGGTTTGGGCCTAAGTATCTTTCTACAAATACTAATTTAGTTCAATTTTAATTATTGCAACCTTAACTAAAACAATAATAAAGTGATGTATGTGTTTATAACCGAATTATATCTAAAAATTAGTTTACTTATGTAATTGTGACTAAATTAACTAAGCTAAATTCAAATTATATTAAATGCAAGTTAATGTGATTTAATGGATGACAAGCATACTAGGATCTCCAATTCTCATGTAATACTCATTTTTAACCTTAGTTATACACTTTGGCAATCTGCAATTTAACGAATCAATATTCTTATTTTATTCAATAATCTCGCTCGAGTAATGTTAAACATACTCCCATACATGGTCCGACTATATTTCTATGACGGATGCGGATATACAAGAGTGCATGAATTTTTAATGAACATTTAAATATTCACATAGAGTACAGTAATATATATCTATCCCCCTATTGGACTCTATGATGAGTTATATTACGTCGAGCATATTTTCTTTCTTTTGAATGCATGAAATAAGATATCAAATTCATACAACTACCGTGCACAGTAAT